AAACGCCCCCTCATTCCTAGGCTACTCCCAGCTCTCCGCAGAGATCACGGCAGGAGCAGTAGACCATCGCGAACAGATCGACCTCTCAACCACACACCCCATCCCCTCGCCCACCGCTCCACCCTACGAAAACCTCCGGGCCCCAAACCAATGGCCATCCTCAGCCATTCTGCCCAATTTCCGCCCAGTCTACCAAGAATACATGACACTCATGGGCAGCATATCGATCCACTTCACCTCCCTAATCGCAGAAGCCATATCCCTCCCTTCAACCGCCTTCGAGCGTTATTTCGAGCCGGATCAGCAACACAAACTGAAAATCGTGAAATACCCCGACGTCTCAGAACTCGGCATCGATTTACCTCCCGGAACCCAGGGTCAGGGCGTAGGACCGCATAAAGACTCGATGCTGACTTCTTACCTCCTGCAAGCGTCGAACCACAAGGGGTTGCAAGTCCAGAATATGAGGGGCCAGTGGATCGACTGTCCGCCCATCGACAGGACGCTCGTCGTTGCTATTGGACAGGGGCTTGAGGCGCTTACTAAGGGCGTTTGTGCGAGCACCACTCATAGAGTGCTGAGCCCGAAGGCTGGGGAGGGAGCCAGGTTCTCGATTCCGTTTTTTGCGGGCGTTAGGGGGAGTACGACGTTTGAGGAGCTGGAACAGGTCGGCGTTGGCGAGGTTCCGGAGGTGATTAGGGAGCAGAGACGGAAAGTGCTGGAGAGTAATGGGGGACGGTTGGATGATGTTGAGTTTACGTTTAGGAGTGGGGGCGTCGCGAAGACGCTTGGGGAGGCGACGCTTAGGAACAGGGTCAAGAGTCATCCTGATGTTGGGGAGAGGTGGTGGCCCGAGATTTTGAGGAGTGTTAGGGAGCAGCAGGCACAGGAGAAGGCTGAGAAGGAGGTAAAGGGGGGAGAAGATGGGGTTAAGACTGTGAGGAGTGGTGGTGATGGGAGACAAGCTGTTGAGGCTCATTGATTTTGAATGACATTGTTGTGATGATTACGCAGATCTATCGTTATGAGAAGATACCTACCTACCTATCTTAGTCAACACATGAAACCCGTCAAGTCGGCATGTGTGATTAGAGCTTGGGAAGGAGTCTTCATACCTGTGACGGGGATGCAGAAGGAGCATTTATGCTATGCCTCCACTCTCAACTCGTTGGCTACTCCAGATCCTTTTATTTCCTAATAACGATTGAAGCCCTTTACTTTGATGTACCTCAAATATTGTCTACCCTCATCGAGTTGGTTCATCCATTTAAATATGAAGATCTCGCGTGCCCCTTCATTTTCCATTTGGTGATTGGGAGTGGGCTATTCAAAAATCTGGAGGTTCTCCTGGACTGCCAAGGAATCACCGAAAGAGCAATCGATCATTCCGGTGCTTTGATCACGGCAGTCAAATGTCAGCATTTAGGGACCGCTAGACTTCTTCTAGAGAAAGGGTTTGACCCAAACCAGATGGAAGTAGCAGGAAGTAAAATAGATTGGTCCGTCCTAGGGCTTACCATTCAGAAAAAAGACTAACGGATATGTTCATTACTCCTAGATTACGGTACAGACACGCATCAGCCCGACGACCGCGGCCAAACACCTTTGATGCTTGAATAGTCGGGTAAGCTTCTCGACTGCGATATTTTCTAATTGCAGGCCTATGATGCAGGTTGCGTCGCGTCGAGGCGCAAAAAAATTGCATGCGTCAATATGGTCTGGTGCCTGTTGGCGCTTGATACACATCATTCTCAACCACGGGGTCGCCCTCCTTCTCTCGGCGAGGATGTCGTTACCGCCCCAAAATAATCTTATTGAATACCATTTCGTTGATCTCTGCAAAGTCGAGGAGTCTCTCAGACTCGTCGAGGGGGGTTACGTTGCCCTTCTCAGGATCGTTGGCTTTTGCGTTGCTCTTCTCGGAGTGCTCGGCTCGGGAGTTATGTGCTATTGCAAGTGTGATCCAGACACCCGCGGCACACACGAGAGGTGAAATTAGTCCCAGAATGACCAACTGGGGGTCTTGCAATACGCTGATATTGTTGGCCCAGCTTGTTATCAGCGTGATCAGGGAGATCGTGAACGGGATTCCCAGCAAGTTGGCGCTGCCGCGAATTTTGCCCTTACTTAAGCCTGGTTCGCCTTCGGAAACGATGCATAGCTGGCGCGGAAATATTGGGAGTTGTTGAATAGCTCTGATGTTGCGCGCAATGAGCTTTTGGCGGGCGACGATGAGGCGCTCGACGGCGTATATTTGGCAGGTGAGCCAGATTCGGAAACACAGAGATACAAGGATCGTCGAGAGCAATATCAAACCAAAGAATGACAATACAGACAATACTGTAGCTAATACGGTCAGAGCATTGTTGCAAATCGTGTTGCCCCCGCAGATTGTTTTGGAGATTGTTTCTAGCGGTAATGCGCAGACCAGCCAGGCGGCGTCCGTGCAATTCAAGTCAGGCATCTCGGTGCTTGGGTTGACGTTGGCGATGTTGGTCTTCCGTAGGCGAACAGGAGAAAAGAATGAGAGGAGGCCAGTGTAGTGAAAGCGATGCGACATGTGATAAAGTATGCTGAGCCACTAAGGTTTCTCCCATGGTACGAAGCAAGGGTTTTATGACTTTGGCGTGCGCAACCCTGCAAAACAGACCGCACTAAAGGGCGGAGAGTTTCGCTTATACAGTTACAACGAGTGATTTCCGATGTATGAGGAAGTGCAGATACGTTGAAATAGGGCGAGAATGGCGAGGGCTGAGCGGTGCGAGGGTACGACGCTTGTAATCGGGAGCACCATTGATGGTCGAAGATAGGGACGAGGCAAAGCAATCCAAGCTACGTTTAGCTAAACATTTAGTTCAACATGAGACAACCCTTCAAAAGAACGACATACAAAAAGTCCGCGAGCAAACACCATGATTGCCAATTGAGAGAAGATTTGATACAGGTCATTCTTTCTAGCGATGCTGATGACTCATGAATATCTTCAGTGTGGTGCTCGAAAGCCGTTGGCTATACGTGGCTCCAGACTCAAAGCTCAATTTGCCTCCTACTGGCTACTTCCTCCTGATGATTAAAGGGAGGAGTCTATTATCGACTACCGATCGCTACAAAAAGGGGTAAGTATCTCGACATCCGTGCCGAAGGAAGCACATGACGCTTCATCGTTCACCTTGCATCTTGTGCTTCGTCGAATCGCAGAGAAATGCACGATTTGCATCTTAGCACGAAATGGTCCCCTCAATCGGATTCCCATGTAAGTGTATTCGGCATATTCCATGAAGCATGAAAATAGGGGTTCATACATGCACAAATACACAGTTATTTGTTGGGCGAGTTGGCAGATAGCTGGAATCGCACCCCCTTTTCACTTTCTGTCATGAAAGCGTCTACAGTACTACTTCAGGCACACTCAACCAGTGACTCGCCTCCATGAGAAATATTTGTGAGCTGCGTCTGAGCGTAGGAAGAAGCGGCTGTTGGGTGACAGGACATAAATTGCCTTCAAATGTTAATGCTCTATTTGGGTGTGCGTTTGTTGCCGCATGCGTTGTGATGAGTTGAATTGTCATAGCATGTATGAAAGTCACAGAGTCAGACCAATAAGCAAACTGGAAAGGACAAATTATTACAGAGAACGCATTGAAATTTCAATGACGCTGGTATATTTCCGTATTACGTTGAAATCTATCAACCGGAGAACCCGATACGCAGCGATGAAGAGATAAATGTCTTCCCTATCTCCATCGTCCATACTTCACAAGTGACAGAAGATCAGTCCATATCTGTGACTCAACAAACGAGACACAGAATAACAATAAAAAATGTCGTCAACTGCGCAGCTGTCGCCTACCGGACGAGCCCGTTCAGCATCTCTTCCAGCTTCAGTAACCAGACGATCATGCTCCCTCAGCTCAGAAGCTGACATTACGTCTGCGAAAATGGCATCGCAAAGCGATGATCCTGCCGCTGCCCTCGAGGGAATGGCGAAGGACAGTGACTTCACCGCTCTCACGCGCCCTCAAAGAGCCCAGGTTCGAGAAGAAACAGGCGGTGCAACTATACCCGAGTGTTGGGGCAATTTCCTCATTGGTGATGGTCACCAGTTCAACGGAGTGGTTTTTGAGGGTAGCGCGGCAGCATTCAATACAGCTGTGGACAATGGGACTATTCAAGGTCCAAGCCGGTCTATGAGCAATGTTCGTGCTGAAGGCACAGGAGATCAACAGTATGTCGCTGCATACAGCATTCTGCGACATTGAATGTCACGGACTAACGAGGAATCTTGATCTTCTAGCAATGGTGTCTATGCACGAATCACAGGACCATCTGGACGACTAAGACTGCCGCGGCCAGATAATCTTCATTCATGTTTCAATGTCGCTTTTGGAAGGGGTAATCAGTATAATGGCTTGAGAATTGTGGAGGTTGACCACGAGGAGGGGAGGAAAACAGAAGAAGAGAGGAAGCAGGAGGGTAAGAATCACGATATGAAAAGACTAGAGCTTCAGTAGCAGTGTTGTACCTCGTGGTAGTCAGGGGGGTAGGTAGTGCAGGTCCCATGTATGTATGCCTCATCAGGCCCCTATCGTGGCCTCGATGATCAAGATGATCTCTCAACAGAGATAATACGGAATGAGTCAGATAACCATACACCAGACTCTTTGAAAAATCTATCTGGAGACTGAGCTTTAGGTTGGCTGAGCGAGTGAGGGAAGGAGCGAGGCGCGTATCTTCGACTTTGCTGTCGCCTCATATTAACCCTTACCACCAAACCCCGATGTAGCTACTACGCTTGGAAAACACCAAAGATGCAAGAATATGGTGTATTTGAGAGGCTTACAGAGAGCAAGGGCGGAAAGGGTAGGGCAGTACGGCTCTGTGCGGTTACTGGGGTGCATACAATGGGCAGCAACGCGCAGTCACATGCCTCTGTCGCCAGACGCGTCGCTTGGGAGTAGATAGATCTAATTACTGGATCCCCTACTAACAAATGAACACAAGCCTGGGTGGTCTAGGGGTAAGACGCCAGATTAGCTACCTGGAGACGGGAGTTCGATCCTCCCTACGGGCACCTCAAGCCAATGATCTTGTGGTTCAGGTAATCCGTTAATCTTCACGGTTGTCCGCAAGGAGAAACACTTAGAACGGATATATGGCTAAGTCGGATCAACGTTGTTTACAGCGGCTATCTGGCTAACGTGCCTAATCTAGTCCCTAATTACTGGGAGAATGTCTAAGTCGCGTGAGGCTCTGCCGAGATAGTTACCGGCTCTGCGAGGGAGGCTAAAATCTTTTTTTCCCTCCCCTCCCCCCTTATTGTTGTTTACATGACCCATCCCCCTGCACTTCCCTTACCTACCCCCTTCCTTACGAAACCATTTGACTCTTTAAGACTGATGAGTGAGATGCTTTCCATACATTTTCCTTAATATGCATCACAGTCTGGAATTTTTTTTTCTTAAAAAGGAAAAAGAAAAACAGAGGTGGTGCGCCATTGCAAGATTCACCATGTTTGCGTATACAGCACAACCCATTCTCAATGTCTCTTTTCCCCCACTACAGGAATGACCTCTTCGCACGATGCATATCTCCAGTTGAGATGCTGGGTCACCTTCTCCGCCTGTGGACATGAAGCACTGCTTCCATGTGGATTTTAGAGTGGTGTGGTACCTACCTTATAGCGGCCCGACGACCATGGAAGCTGGGCACGAGGTCATAAGGAGAAGACATAAAGTAGGGGGATAATCTAAGAACATTCAATGACCTAAGTCGATGGTGACACTAAGAGCGAGCCCACATCTCAGATAGTGGATTATTCATCCCATAAGTAAGAGTCAACGCGACGTTGATTCAAGTCGAGTATGTGGTGCTCGCCTTCTACTACATCTTGGATTGAAGTACTGCTTCCAGTGACCTTCAAGGGCTGAGTCACTTGATTCATTCACATTCATAAATAGACAGATGGATGGACATGAGATGCTGCGCGTCGAGGTTGCACTAATAGGGGTTGTCATCCTGGATCGACCGTTGAGACGTTTATCTCCTTTTCTTGCCCCCGGCTGGTGATCTTTGGGAGACAGGACGCCATGAGAAGGGAGCTGGGAAAAGACATTTACAGCCAACTGCAAGTATTGAAAATCGTCTGTTTGTCAAAATACGCAGAGAGCGAATAGGAAAGCTGTTGCAACATCGAATGCATAACTTGTCCCGTCTGCATTACGACGTAGGAACCCACGTGTATATGTTGCGGAGCCCGTGCTAAATTGGAGCCTCATGATTTCACCTCAGTCAGTTCGTAATTGAGTGGACGAATTTCTTTCTCTAATCTCTAATTTCTCGGTGTTCGTAGCCTCGTTACTCGTTGATGAAACCCTGTCCATGCGCCCTCCGAAATCATTGTGCTCCCGACGCTGAGTACGAAAACTGCGTCATCGTCGCCCTCGCTCTCATGCTATGCAGATTGTCTCGTTCCCTCGGCCTCCGTCTCAGCCCTTGATCAAGTTGCCATTGACGAAGAAGTCCCTGTCGAATTTTTGTCCGTTGTGCTTGTCATCGAGGTGTCGTTGGAGCCTGCGGCCTGGTCAGCAGGGGGCAAAGGCATTAGTAGGTAGGTGTAGAGAACGTACTCGGGTTCACGGGCGGTCAAGGACCAAGTCTGGGAGCATTTGCACTTGATTTGAATGGCCTCCTTGTTCTAGATCGGTGTTTGTCTTAGTGCCTCCCCATCTAAGGCGGGAAGGCGGGGAATGCTTACGGCCTTGAGCTGCGATTTGCCTCCTTTCGAGGTGTCTTTCTTCCGGTCGCGTGTATTTTGGGCTTTGGCTCCCTGCAGGCGATTTCCTTAGCATCCCGTACCACACGGTCTCGGTTTCACTGCACGACTTACGTTACCCATTTTGGAGAGATCTGTGGGTACCTTGTATGGGCGATTAGTGCGTCAATGGAGGTGTTGCGAGGGAGGCGCAGTTGGCGACGTCGACGATAGGAGGTAGAGAGGATGCAGAGAAGACAAGGTGTCTGCAGTCTCGTCGGCGTTTTGGCAAACAGTAGAAAATAAGTTTGCCCAAATCAAATGTCAGCTCACGCCGCCAGTCCGACTTGGATCTGGGTGCCTACTCCAGGGTAAGAGCACTCCTCCATGACACCCCCTCGGGCCAATGGTTTTGCTCCACCCGCTCAACATCTGTCTTAGGTACCTAAGTACTGGCAAATGACATACTAGTAGCAACCCTGTCGCGTCGCAGCTTACATTTTGTCGTTCGAGGTGTGATCTGAGGACGAGTGTTCGATCAAGCATTCAATGCCCAATCGTATACACGTGATCTTGTTCAAGTGCCATCTCAAAAGCTCTCCAGCTTTTCCAATACGTCCAAGCTCCCTGACACCGAGCAGTACAGCTGTCCATGAGAAGCAGTCTGGAGAGAGCAATCCTACACATACTCAAGGATAGCAAGACATTGTCAAATCGACGCAGAGCCATGGAAGAGGAATTCCTTCCAAGCAACATATCGATTGATGTGTTCCAGAGCCTGGTGGCACGCTACGGAGCTCTGATCGAATCCATTTCGGCGGACAAACGTCAGTGGACGGGCTTCCTCCGAGTCCTCAGAATCATTGCTGATCGCCAACAGCGGCCAAACCCGAACAGAGGTCCCTCGTACAGCTTGACGCATTTCGGTATGGCGAAGCGGTGGATGCATTCGGATCCGCCAAGCCAAAGCGTCAAATGACACACGAGGATGTCAAGACCTTGGTAGAATGGAAACTGTAAGTCAATGTTTTGGGACGATAAAGACGCACTTCCCACCCATTCCGACTACTATGACCTGACGCATTTAGACGCCACGGCAAATTTCGGCCAACTCTGATGAAGCTCGTTTCATCCAACGAGAGCAACACTGTCGAGAAAACTATTCACCAAGTGATGACAAAGTACTGGTCCAATCAGGATATTCCACAAGCTGTAGATGGCATTTCGAAGCTCAAGGGAATTGGCCCTGCGACAGCTTCGCTTCTACTCTCGGTCCATGACCCCGATCGAGTCATTTTCTTTTCGGATGAGGCCTTTTGGTGGCTTTGTTCCAATGGACAGAAGTCGCCGATCAAATACAATGCCAAGGAGTATCAGCAGCTAATAGCAGCTGCAAACGAGATCATCAAGAGACTAGGAGTGGGCGCCACTGATGTCGAAAAGGTGGCATACGTGCTACTCAGAGGTGATCTTGGTCGTTCCCAGTCATCCGCGACGAAAAGCCAAGGCCCTGCCTCCAAGGATAGCGGAAACCCGGCGGACAAATACTCGGGCACGACCACCGCAAAGAGGAAGACAACCACGGCCGTAGATGGGAGCGACGGGACTGTCCGCCGGTCTAAACGTGGGAAGACTGCCTAGTCCTACCGGCTTGTTCGGTGGCTTGATGGGAGTACAAGAACAGAAACTCAATCGCGATTCCAATGCAAGACGCACAATGTAGCAGGTCGGATCCAGCCCAGGCTGCAAAAACGCTCCGAACGACAACGTGCATGACGCATTGAAATCTCGCTAGTGTCATCGGTCTGCAAGGCACGTTATCGGTGAGACTATACTCGTTCGCTCTCGGCCGCGGCGTCTCTTCCCATTGGCCATGGCGATCGAAAACTTCCGAGTTGGTAGCATTGCGAACTGCGCGGCTCGACGGCCCGCCGAAGCGAATAGCAACATCCGACCGAGAGAACGGCACGCACGTAATGGGCATCCCCGATCCTATGTCGGCGAGTCCAACGCATTTGCATCTCTATTCATTAATCCTTATTGCTCTTGAAAATCATTATACTGTACGAAAGACGTGCGAAGTGAGCTGTAGTGCTCTGTACAGATCTTCAAACAGCGAGTGATGCTGTCGAACTTACTAGCTCAACCCACTCCCGTCCGGGAACGTCAGCCGAAAGATCACGAGCTTATCAAGGGCGGGTCCCTGAGTGCAGAATGCATTCCACCCTTAATGGATCACCTCACACAACATATCTCACATGGTGGTCGTGGCCTAACAGAATGTTGCTCAAGCTGCAGGGTCATGGCATCTTCCGTAGCTCGCTGGCTCTGTCGAACTCGAGATGTCTACTGAGAATGGCAGTTGTGCAGCGCGTGCCTATGGTTGTACAGCTCGTTGAACGATACATGACTGAAGTCAGACCAAATATGCGACGTCAAGGCCTAGGAACAAATCCATTATCAATACCATCGAACGACGGATCCTGCGTTGAAGATACAAGTACCACACACTCGGTGGTCTGCAACACGCGAAGACCAACGGCCATCTTCACAATCTCGAAACCGTACCCAACGCCTGCTCTACGTGATCCCTAGGGACCAGCAGTACACACCATGTCTATACTTGACTCAGAGCCTATCGCTCTCGCGCCTCGCTTTGCCACGATGAAGAGAAACATGATAGCTTGTCGGGAAAAACAGGTTGCGGACTCATTCTACCGATTGTTGCGGCGACTTGGGAAAGAGACAGAGATGATTGCGTCCTGCGGCTCCGACATCATACCCGTCATTGACTACTTCGACATCCAGAACAATACGAAAGTGTCGGCATTCAAGAAGGCAGTGCAAACTCGCGGGGTTGCCATCATCAGACAAGTTATACCACCGACCGTAGCACAGTCCTGGAAAGAGGAAACGTCAGATTACATCAACGATAGCCCACAGATGAGAGGCAATCTGTGGCCCGGTTCTCAGCGCTTCGATATGTATTGGAGCCCTGGGCAAGTTAGGGCAAGGGCCGACTCGAGGCTACTTGATGCCCAGCGGTTTGCTATGAGTATTTGGCAATCCAGTGACGAATCCGCCCTCGTGAGCAGTGATCACCCTGTTGCTTATGCTGACCGCTTCCACATCCGGACGGAAGGCGATCCTTCTCTCGCCATTGGCCCGCATGTCGATAACGGCAGCGTCGAAAGATGGGAGCCGGACGGCTATGGGCATGCGGGCACATACCAGCCTATTTTTGACGGGCGGTGGGAAGAATATGACCCCTGGGATAGCACCTCGAGGCTCCGCGTGACGGCTGACCTATACAACAAGGC